GTGCTGTAACCCGTTTCTTTTTCTGTTAAGCGATAAGCTGCTTGAAAATTTCAGCAAAATACAACAATAATTTATTGCTGACTCACGGGACCAAACATGTGTTTCATGTAAAGCAATATTTCACTTTAAGCAGTTTCGCTGTTGTGCGGTGCAACTGTAATTGTAGTTAACTACCAAGAAATGTAGTTTTTCTCACCACAGCTTGTAGCAAATAAAACCCTTGAATGAAATTTTATTGTAAAGAAACTGGAACTAGTGTGAATGAATAAATTGGTTTCAGTTATCCTCTAAGATAGTGGAATATTATCGGACATCTTATGTACAGCAAATGTTGGTTTTACATCTAAGCAATTTCTTTTTTCTCTTACGTGTCTAAATTTTATTATAAATGTATTATTTTTGTGCAAATTGTTCAGCTTGATTACTTTTGTAAATTTTAAGAGAACACCCTACTGCAGAGGAAAATTTTCTTTCTCCTTCTTGACTAATTTGAAAGGAAAGAAAAGTAAGCCTAGAGTAAATCATGAAGTTTCAATTGCTGAAAAAAAAATTCTTCGAAATATTAAAATGCAAACAAATTATTAGAAGAGAACTTCTCCATTCCGTTATCCTAAGTTATCATCTCGTAATTTATTTGTCGTAATTCTTTTAATATAAATTTTTTTTTTACAGAATTGTATTCTCATGATTAATCAGGGCTGCCACTTCACAGGGAAATCCTGAAGAAAAAAAAACAGGGAATTTTGAAGTACAGGGAGGAAAAAAAGAATCTAAAATAGCACGGAATTTTGAATTTTCCTTTAGAAACTGAGAAAATATGGGGAATTTTGTTTTTTATTTTCGTCTTTTAAAAAATGGTAAAAAAAGCAAAGTGCAGTCTATTAGATATTTAAAGATGATATTTCAGTTTTTTTAAACAACACTGGTGTAAGAAATTAAGAGAATTTGCAAACTGAGTCGATTATCTCCAGAACTACAAGACCGATTTTAATGAAATTTGATGTGTACTTAAATTGACACAATGCGAAGCAATAACCATTCAGCAATTGTTATACACACTCATGATCGTGCTTAATACTCGTTGGAGTCGGAAGGTATGAAACAGAGAATTGCAGAATAAACAAAAAAGAAACAAATAAATGGGTTAATAAGGGTCCCCTCTTACAGATATGCAGACTTTGCAGCATGATTTCATACTTGAAATTAGGTACTTTATCATTTCCTTAATCAATTGGTCTGAATTGTCTTGTGACAATTTCATACCTTCTGACTCCAACAAGTGTTACGTACGATCATGGGTGCGTATAACAATTGTTGAATGGTTATTTGTTTTGTATTGTATCAATGTATCTAATTTCACTTAAATCAGTCCAATAGTTCTAGCGATCATTGTCTACAAATTCTCTTCATTTCTTACACCATTTACCATAGCATTATTTGTTTATACATTTGTTACATTAACAATTATATAACTAGTATAGTTAGCTCAATACAGCTCATGCAGGAACAGTTTAATATATTGTTTGTATTGTGTACAGGGAAAACAAAGGAAATTTTTTCTCTGCAGATTTTAGTGGCAACCTTCCTAATTACTTAGAGCTAAATGTGATAGATCAAAATCCAAAGAGTTGAAGAAATGTTATATTTACAAGTAATTTTATTTTACCTTTTTTTTTTTACAGTTCCCTGATAAAGAACTTCTTGCAGAGGTAAATACTTTTAGATGACTGTAGATTTTATAAAACAGCGCTATTCACATACCTGCCAAGTCTCCTGTTTCTTTAACAAAAACTCCTGTATTTTACAACATCTCCTGTTTACCCGTATATTCTCAAACTTCTCCTTATTTGTTGAAGAAACTTTAAAAAAAATATTTTTGTGATAAAATATCTGCTAATGGCAAAAATACTTCTTAATCCTCAACTATTGCTTGTACTCCAGTGTGCTGAGACTCCCCGCGTAGTAAATGGTGACCGGTGTGCATTAAATCTGTCAAGTCACAAAGTCCTCCATGTTCCCATCACAAATCATACCTCTGGGGTACTTATCCAGGAGTTTCCTTGTCTTCTAGATTGGGTTCAAAATTACAGAGCTACGGAGTTAAACATTTGAAGTCGTAAACTCGAACACTGGGTCGGCTGTTCAATGACGAATATAAAATTTAATAAAATAGTTTAAATAATTATAAATAATGGTTTTAAAAAATCTTATTTGGATTAAGATTTATATACATATTTTTTATACTTCACTAAAAGTCAGTGCTTATATTATTTCGAATTTTGATTTACCTGATTATGCATCAAAACTTTACTCGTAGCCCAAAAAATATCACTAGTAAATTCTCCTTCATTTTATTTCTGCAATGTTGGCAAGTACCCAAATAGAAGCTCCCGAACTGGCTGTAAAATTTATAGACTTACCATCAAACTTAATTTTTATTACACATGGTGCGTAGCATTTTTAAGAAGTGCTTAAAAGTGTTTTTTTTTTTTTTTCGTTTTTTAAAAGCCCTTAAAGGTGCTTTTTACATTGGGTGTTTTTAAACAGCGCTTAATTTTCTTTTTTCGAAAATTAGATTTTTTTTCTTTACCATGTCTTTACATTGTCTTTACCATTTCTTTACATTGCACAAAAGGGGGCTTTCACATTGTTCTACTCAACGTTTTCACAATTCATTCAACCATAATCTATTTCAGCGTACCGCCATTTCATAGCATATGAAAGTGCCCATCATTTTATAGGTTTGATGAAATACTTGCGAGTTCGCATGTGTGTATAGTGAGCTGGATTCGGTGAAATTATTGCACTCTCATGTGCAACTCTGCTGCATTTTGCAATATATTATCCATTTCAAGTTTCATTTTCGGCCCTCTGATATCGAACCGAAAAATCTCTTGATCATTTTATGCTGACTAATATAATCCAGAAAAGAGTACTTTGTCAAAAACTAGTTATTTTATCATGATCCTGTACTGTCTTTGAAAATTATTTTGTTAATGTATATAATGCTTAAAAAATACTTAAAAAGTGCTTATTTTTTGTTGAAAGATTTGACTGCGCACCCTGTGACCTGTCTTAGTTACTGTTCATATATTTTTTATTTTTGTCCATTTTTTAAAATTCTATTTTAGACAGGAAGAATTTATGTTCGAAATCTATGCTACACTGTAACAGAGGATGATATTGAACAGCTTTTTGTAAAATATGGTAAGCAGGACATTCATTTAACCTTAAAAATTTATATTCTGCAATATAAATAGCCAATGTATTCTGAATCATTACTGGTTGCAGGTCCAATTGCTGAGATTCATGTGCCAATTGATTTCAATACAAGAAAGTCTAAAGGTCATAATTTTAACTTGTCATAATTTTAACTATTTTTTAGAAGAATCATGGAAAGTCATGGTTTTAGGTCGCTGCAAAGTCTAATTTTTAAAATGGAAATCCCCCCCCCCCCNCCTCCCCCCAATTTCATGGTGTTCCAAATATCTGAATTTATAAAAAAAATCCCCACTCACAGTCATATTTTATTAAAATATAACATATTTTTATCATGTTCTTTAAAAATTATGGTGTTCTTTCAAAAAATGAAAGAAAAGACATCATTTCTAGATCGTATTATCTTTTAAACTTCTGAGATTTCAAAATGTTTGTTATTATTTAATTGTTTTATTTTATCAATTTAAAATTCTAACTGAAGCAAGCCAGTCATTGGCGAATGTTTTTTATTTCGAAATGAGGACAGAAAAATCAGGAGTATTTCTTTCCTTTCCGATGAACAAGAAAAGTATCTTTAAAATATAATTCTGCTGAAAAAGAGAGAAAAAATTTATTTGCTTTTTATTTTTTTCAGCTACTTTATTGTTTCAACTCTTTCTTTACTCTGTTTTTTAAATTTAAAATCTATAAATATGAAGATGTAGAGTGTAACAGTTTTGGTTTTACCTATCATTTCAATTAATGTTATTATAATGATTTTTTTTTAATTCATTGTTTTGTTTTTTGTCAGAGAAAATAGTAACTTCGATAAGTCATAAAATTTCTTGTAATTAGTCATGGAAAGTCATGAATTTAAGAATCTAAAACGTAGCAGATACTCTGTATTTAGTACTTTTTAGCTAAAGTAAAAATGGCTATCTTCTTAAATATTTATTAAAATGAAAGGTAACAATTCTGTTACTGGTCAAGTTCATTGTACCTCCGAGCATCAATTGTAATAATTTTTGTTTTGTTTATGGTAATGCAGTTTCCTATAAATTTGTACAAATAAATTGGAATAAAAAATGTTTGGTTAGCTTTGAAATGAGTAAAATTTAAATCACTACTGTCTACTCTATTTAGGATTTATTTTCTGAATCGTTAACTATACTAATTCTTTATGTAATGTTTAACTTTCTAATTATTTTCTTGTAATTGTCATAATTTGCTGCTTAATCTTTTTATTATATTTGTTTACACTATTACTTATTTCCACGAATTTATATATTACGAATTATTTGACGATTTTTGATTTATATCACGAATTATACTATAGCACATTTCTAATAGGTTTAACGAATTATATGTCATTTATTTGAATTCCAATTTATTTTAATGACTTAGTATTTACTAAAAAGATGCAATTTTTTTTTAAAAAAAAGTTTTTATATGGATTTGAATGATTGTTTTGAATTCTTAGAATTTTGTGCATTTGCAATATACCTAAGTTAGTAGCAAGCGAAGCAAACCATATAAGATTGCGTAGCAATTTTCGGGGGTTGGCGAGCGTTAGCGAGATGGAGGGGCAGCCCACTTGTTCTAAATAATCCAGAGCCTCATGTTTTTAGGTTTGCAATTTCTTATACTGTATTTAAAAAACAAATTTAAAAAAAAAATTGAAAAAAATACTGTACGTATTTTTGTATTAATTGATGAATGGTTCAGTTTTAAGAAATTATCTGTATAACATAAAAAAAATTATTAGGTTTTATTATTAATTTTTATCTATTTTTTTGCAGATACTAATTTTTTTAAAAAAAGAAAGAAGCTGAAAGAAAAAAAGAAAGTGGAAGGTAGGTTTTTTCTAAAAACCTTTTTGGTGCAATAATATTTTTCAAAATCAATTATTTTCCCAGTTTCTGCAACATTCGATATGCCGCCATTTTGTTAAAAATTATTTAAAGGGGGAAAAAAATTTTGAATATCGTGTAACAATTTATGGGTTTGTAAACATTTTTTATGACTTTATAAACTAATTCGCTGAATTGACTATTCAATAAAATACATTTCAATGGCTCACCCATGAACAAATTCACTATTGTATTCTTGTAATGAATGGTGAATGAAATTTGATTCATTCATTTTGAGGAATGCTATTTCTATTTTCTTCTTTTGTTAGAAGTTACAACAGAGGAACATGTGGGGAGAGTCATCTGGACAATGTCATACCTGCCAAGTCTCCTGTTTTTTAACGAAGACTACTATATTTCACAACTATCTCCTGTTTACCTGTATGTTCTCAAATTTCTCCGTATTTGTTAAAGAAATTAAAACAAAGCAAAAAAAATTGGTGATAAAATATCCGCCGATGGCAAAAATACTTCTCTTATTCCTCAACAGATGGTGCTATTGCCAGTACTGCAGTATGTTGAGTGTTAATTATTTAAGTCGAGCTAAGGTGGCTCAGGAGATAGAGCGTTCACCTTCCACTGAGGTGAACCCAGGTTCGAATCCCAGCAATGAATGGCTGATACGAATTCCGCATTCGGCTTGCACTGACCCCAGTGCTGGTGTGAAATATCCTCAGTGGTAGACGGATCACAGGTTAGAGTCCCCTAGTCGCCAGGCTAACCATGGGAGGTTTACAAGGTTTTCCTCTCCGTGTAACTCAAATGCCGGTTATTTCCATAAAAAGTTTTCCACTATAGCAAATTTCTCCCAATACTTAATCCAGGAGATTCCTTGTCTTCTGGGTTGGGCTCAAAATCTCAAGGCTACGGAGTTGAACAGCAGTGGTCGTAAACCCAAAATTGGGTTTGTTAGTAAAATCTCTGTTATTTTATTTCTCCAATGTTGGCAAGTGTGTAACGTCAACCTTCATCTATGAAAAAGTACCCCAGCATAGAATCGTGTTAACATGTCTTATATATTAGTTAATTGAAATTGTATTTTTGCATTGGTAGATACACTACAGTACTTCCCCATCAGAATTATAACTGTGACAGAATTCGATGCACGAAAACCACTCATAGATTCATTGCTATTTTGTGAGAAGCTGGGAGAGCTGTATTAAGTTCACGGTCCAGGTTGCTCTTGTGTTACTGTAAGCAGTTGAGTGTATACAGGCCAACGTTGTGTGTGATTGAGACTGAGAAGCTACAACGCAAGGAGGTGAATAATGTTACAGGTGGAAAGTCAACTTTTCAATGTGAGCCATCCATCAAAGTAGGCGTGTTCAATTCAAAGTGGGAGTTTCTGTCAAAGTAAGTGTGTTCACATCACATCCAAAGGTCACCAATGTGTGAAGAAGAGTTATAAAAAATGTCAATATTCATCTATGTAAAGATGCGCCTACATAGAATCGAGTTAACATGTCTTATATACTAGTGAATTGGAATTGTAATTTTGTTGAGGTAAACACACTACAGGGCAAATAATATAGTTAAAATAAAATAGTTAAAAAATAAAGTAGTTTAAAAAGTAGTTATAACTTCAAAGCTTATTTTAATTTATTTACTTCATACTAGAAATAATAGAATTGTTTACATATATTAATGATGTACATAACGTATTAATAGAAAAAAATTAATTATTTTCATGTTGTATCGGATAAAACAAAATTGGGTTAACATAAATTAATTAAGATAGTGCTGCCGATTTTGTGTCAACAAGGTTGAACTGTATATGCATGTTTGATGTTAGCGTTTTGATAGTGACTTGTAAAATGTGCAATTTAAAACATCTGTAAATATCATTTCTCTACTGATAAATTTGGAATTAAAATGAATTAGTTGCATGAATTATTAAGAATGAATTCCTTTTAGTTCTCATAATTGGAATATATTGTTCCTTGGAATGAATGCTGTAGCTGATGCCATTGCTGAGAAATACAAAATTTAAAAGTCGCAATTACTCTCAGGTGTAAGTTATGAAAATATAACTTTTTTTTTTACACCTAATGTGTTAAATGAGTGTTGGGATCTCTTCAAATGTAAGTGTGGAAATTGGAATCCTTCCCCTTTTCATTTAATGCATTATTGAAATCAACACACATAAATGTTGATATTTTATCCATTTGTCTTATCTTTGAAAATTAAATTTATTTTTAATATTAATTTCAGGTATAATAAAGTAATGCTTTTGAAATGCAAAATAAATCTATGTATATAAATTGCAACGAGTGTTAATGAAATTAATTGATAAAAATAAAAGCATTTAAAATATTTCATTTCTATTTGTATATTAAAAAAAAAACTTTATACCTTTATATATCACCACAATGTCTCTCTTGTAATCCCTATGGCCGAGTTTTTTCAAATTTTCTGTGACATACCCGTCAGGTACTAATATCTATCTGCTAGATACGTTTAATAACAGAAATACTTTCAATAACAGATACTTTAACAACAGATTCTAACAAATTTTATAAACAGAAGCGTTGACTGAAAAAATAAAAATGAAACTTTTTTTATAAAATAAAATAATTTTTGTCAATTGACTATGTAAAACGTTTTTTTTTTTTTTAAAATATTATCAGCGATGTTCTCACATTTTGCAGGAGAAAACACACTAATTATTTCCTTTCCCCCAGTTTTTAAATCCTCATCTCATTAAAAAAAAAAAGAATCGTGAAATCAGTAGCTGTAATTACCGAAAAAAAAATGGAAAGCAAAATCACAGGAAGGAAAAAATGGTTACTAAATGTGTGTTTTCGTTTTGAGATTCAGTTGCTGTAGTTAATAATATTGTATTAAAAATATAAGATTTTACAAACTGTATGGAAATCAATAATAATTACTGTATAAAAAAATAGAACAAAATTTCTGCAGAAAATAAAATAAAATTTTTTACTTCATAATTCGTTATTTTTCATTGCTCTCAAATGAAAATAGAAAAATCAGAAGCATTTTTTCTACTCTGTTGCGCGTGAAAGGCATCTTTTGAACATAATTCTGAAGAAAAAAGAAAATCTTAGGAGAATTTCTGCAGAAAAGAGAACCAAAACTTTTTACTTCCCATAGGGAAAAGCTTTCTGAAAGACCTTGGTATCATTCTGCAACATTGTCGCTGCGATTCTGCCACTGGGCTTGTAATCATTAGAATTGCTTTCTTTTCACTGAAACTCCGCGAACCTTCAAGGGACCGAAATTTCGGTTCACTATATCCATACCGTAAACAATTTGGACTAATGTTTCTGAACTCCTTTTTGTTACACATTATTTAAATAAATGACTAATAAACACTGATAAAATGAAATACAAAAATAACTAAACATTGTGTAGTAACAAAAAAAGTGCTAAATTTTATTTTTTATTACTCTGCGTCTTGGGTACAAAAAATTTAGGAATAAGAAATTGAGATAAAAGAAGTAAACAAGAAAAAATGCTTACTGCTACAATCTACTCTATAGATGGTTTTAAAAATCGGTATATGTATTATAGAAATTTCAAAATTACCAGAAAATGAAAAAAAAATCAGTCAAACACCAAAAAAAATTCATAATATCTAAATTCCTCCCCTTTTTTTTTGGTTAACTATATCCACATAAAATATTATATGTGTATTGCAAAGCATGAGAGTAAAAGTTTTTTTCACTATATCCGGGAGTTCACTATAGCGGGGTTTGACTGTATAAAAATTTTAATACATTAAAACATACTCAGGGTTGCCACAGGCTACTAAAATGCAACTATTTGCTACTATTTTTGGCCTTAGGCGACTATGGCAACTTTTTTTGCCTGGAAAGCCTAAGAAAGCAACTATTTTCAGGAATAGGCAACTATTAGGAGACTTTTTTTACTCTTGGTGAAGTTTTTTTTTCTCTAAAATGAACGTTAATAAAAGAAAGCAAACTTTAAAGGTAAAAAAAGCATTTATCTTCAGGAATAGGTGACTATTAGGAGATTTTTTTTCGTCTTGGCAAAGTTTTTTCGCAAAAATGAACGTTACTTTTCAGAACGTTAATAAAAGAGAGCAAACTTTTATTCAATCATTTATGTCCAAAGAGCCAAAAATTTAACGTTCCATTGCATTTAATAAAGTACTTGTTATATGATCTCTCTGAGGGGCAGTTTTGTTAATTTTAATTGTTTTTTCCTTCTATTAACATTCATATTTTATTTTAATTCGACTTTTATTTAGATACCTATTTTCTAATATGTATACCTTTTATGTTTGTACAAAACTTTTTTTTAATTGGAGCATAGTTAGGACTGGACGATAAATCGATGTAACGCGAAATATTGATTTAACGCATATATCAGTGGGCCGATGTAGTGACTTTCGTTTTGGGCGATGCATCAGAAATCTGATTTAAGCCGCCGGAATTAGATTACAATCGTGGTTTAACGATTTAATATGCAAGGATCGTTTTCTAGGCTATCGCTGTTACCGCACTAACGAAGACGATTTTTATTTCGTCTAGCTGCAGAGATGTAGAGAGCGTTTTGCTATTAAGATGATGTTAGTTTTGTGATGTTGAATGACAAAGAGCGAATTGAATCAGAACTCCCGGTTTCATGCGAGGATCAGCGTTGTAATATAGAATGCAATGCATGGTTTCCCTATGTCCATTTTTGTCTTTGGGATTTTGCGTTTTTTGAAGATTATTTTCAATGGGACTTAAACCATTTTGCGATGGTTGTGCATTTTATTTCGTCGGAAGTAATTGTCGGGTTTCTTGTATTATATTTTCTGTGAGACTTTTGCACCGATCTTTTTGTTCTGCATTATTTCTTACCATTTTTTTTCTGTCTGTGCTTAACAATGATTATCAATTATTTTTAGTAGACCTACTGTTACTTTGCGATTGCTGCACAATCGCTGTTATCTCAAATTTTCGTTCTGAACTCAATAGATCAAATCATTGATTTTTTTCAATTATTGTTTTTTATTTTAAGCGATACAATTTAATAGGGGTATTTTGTATTTGACTTTGTTATAAAAGCTTACCGTTATTTAATTTGCTTTTATTTTTGAGAAAATGAAAACAAAGTTTTAAAAAAATTTGGCTATTAGTTAAAACAAATTTTTTTTTAATTAAAAAAAAAGTTTAGTAATGTTTTGACGTTTTTAATAATTTAACATTAGTACCTAAAGTATTCTTTAAATTTTTTATTAAAATTCTTTCAATACTTGTTTGTTTTATAATTTGTTCGATAAAAGACCATTCATCATTTATCACTTAATTTACTTTAACATTCAGTCACAAAAGGGTAATTCTACAAAAAAGTAAGCCAAACTTTTAAAATTTCAGATTTTAAGAAACTAAACATATTTTATATAATTTTAAAATTTAAAATGTATATTTTAATGTTATGCAGCATGATTTCTGTTAGAATTTAATTAACATCTCTCATTTTTTCAAGAAGTATGTGAAATGTAATGTATGTTAATGTATTCATTGGAATATTCAAAGTTTTTCTTTAAAAACTGGAAAAAAAAGAAATTTTGTTTCTGATTTTTATCTTTAAAAAAATAGTAACCACTCAAAGTGCATTAATAGTAACCACTCAAAGTGCATCAAAGTGGGATATTTATTGATGATATTTTATCTTTATTAAACTATTTAATTTACTATAGCATTATTTGTTTTAAGCATGCAACTTATTTTGCCAAAATATAAGCAAAAACGACTACTTTGCAATTAATTATGAAAATCTCTTTTTTCCCAATCGTCTGCTAAAAAACATCAATTTGCCATTTTATACTTGTAATTTTATGTAATTTCGACTGTCCGTTTATTCTCATAACTGCCATATTTAATTTAGAAGTATGTAACTTTTTCTATTTCTTAAATAAAATTCATGCTTTTTAAAATATTGTATTTAAAATCAGTTCCAGCAGAACCAGAAGAAGGAGATGACGATGTTTTTGCAACAGCTGAGAATCTTCCCTTAGATATTGGAGAATTATCAGACAATCACTCAGTGCTTTGTCAAAAGAAGAAATGAAAAGTCCAAAAAAGGTATTCACTTCTTAAATGACTTTTCTGGTTTTATTCAGTAATGGTAATTTAGAAAATATTTGATTGATAATTTTTTAACTCTTTAATACAGAAAACACATTCTTGTAAGATTTAAAAAAAATTTTTTTTTTCTGTTTTATTATCAAATGTTACTTAAATAACAGCCATCAAAATAAGGATTGGGTTTTTGATGTCAAAAACCTGTCAAACTATCAAAAACCTGGGGCACCTTTTTGATATTACAGACATTTTATTAGATACTAAATCATGCACAGTACTTGCATTACATATTTCTATAATTATGATTTATATTATATATCACATATAAGAAATGCCTCCAAAATTATAGAAATCATTAATTTTTCTAATGGTACTTTAAGACATATGTTATAACTACTCAGTTTATATTATAGGTAATAACTATGAGTTGTTAATCATTATCAATCTAAATATTAATTTTAATTCTTTTATGTTACAATTTTGTCAGATTTTTTAGACTAATTAAAATTATAAGATTCTCCAATAATTGTCAGATCTCAACATATTAATTTTTATATTCATTTTCAATATTTGTTATAATTAATTATATTAAGAAGAGCAGAATATGTCTGACTGCGCCTACAAGGAGTTGGAGGAAATTCTGATCTCAATGGAAAAATTTTTAGTCTAAAAAAATTCTACTAAATTTTTTGTTACAGAAATGTTGCTTGCAAAACTTTTTCTTGTTAAAAAAAACCTATGTCACTTTGTGTATTTAGTAGTTTGAATTCCTTAAGTTAATAAGTTGGACCTTAAATTTAATTTGATAAATTATCACTAGTTCAATATATTTTAATTTCTATTACTTTATAACGCATATGCTCGTTTATTCAAGAACTGTGTAAAATCAAATGGAATTTTTTTCTTACATAAACT